CACTAATATGTGTTGATAAGGCCCTCATTTCAACTCCTTTTTGCTCTCAGTGCAGTTAAAGAAAGCCTGCAAACAAGTGTCTCAAATTTAACTATGGCGAGCAGTAAACGCAAAATGTTCTCCATTGATGATAAAATGGGCATAGTCAGAAAAATTGAAAATGGATGTAATCAAGCTGATATTTGCAGGGAATATAAACTATCCAAATCTACAGTTCGTAACATATGGAAAAGTAGGCAATTAACAACTTCTGCTCATGAAAAAAATTTAAATGGCAGAAAAAAGTTGAGAAAAGCAGATCACAAGGATATTGAAGAAGCATTACTGAAGTGGTTCAGCATTCAAAGAAGCCGCAATCTTCCAGTATCTGGACAAATGTCGATGAATTTGCTAAGCGATTTTATGAGATTACTTTTATGTGCTCGAATGGCAGGTTAGACAAGTTTAAAAAGTGAACTAACAGAAATTCAGGAAAAATTATCTGAGAGTCGGGAAATGTTTCCATATCTGATGTTGAGGACTGCTGAACAGCTAAAAATTATTATTATTTTTTTTTTTTTGGTACGCAGGACGAAGAGTAATAAAGAATAAGAAATTTTTTGCTACTACATAATATTTTTCAGTCATTTATTTGAAAAGCGTGTAATAAAAGGGAGAAATTTGGGAACCATTAGTTAAATTGCCCGCATAACGGATATAGTGAACTCCCGATTATAGTGAACCAAAATTTTGGTCCCTTGAAGGTTCACTATAGCGGGGTTTGACTGTAGTAGTTTTGAAGAAAAAATAGAGCAATAAAGCAATGTAATCCTGATTTAAATTTAATACAAAATTTAGGTGAGATAATAAAAACTAAATTTATCACAATATGGTATACAGTTTTGAAAAAAAAATTTATCAATTAAATATTGTAAGGAGGGTGCAAAATTAATACCAACATTACAAAAGTGAATACTTAAACAAATTTAAGTAGTTAGTAAACTTTTAACGAACAGGTAAAATTAGTCTACTAGAAAAACAATGTGAGTTTATGACAGAAGCAATAATTGAGATTCTATTAGATATGTCATATTAAAAATTAATATATATACATATATATTAAAATATGAATTAATAAAATTTTTTATGACTATCATACCTCTCCATGAAATATAACAATGTGGAAGAAAGTATCCATCAAAAGAATGCGATCTGGTTGTATACTGCTGGTATCCAATAGCACAGGCTAAAAATAAAACAGAATTTTAGGTTCTATTAAAAATGCAAATGCTTCTTTTTAATACAATTTTTACAAATTATTTAAAATTTAGTAAGCACTATTCTTACATCAACATAGAAAAAAAAACAAGATTAGCTATTGCTAACAAAGATACTTTTAATGTCATAATGAAGTAGAAATTTTTATAGCGAAAAAAAAAATACAAGTCTTGATAAACATAAGAATGATTATCTCAAAAATTGTTTTAAGATTAGTCTTTCTTGAATGCATACTCAATTATTAGTAAACCTATTTATTGTTTATTACTTCTTGAATCTGAAGCCGTTTCAGAACTTTAACCATTGATAGATGCTTAAATCTTCTTTAATTAATAATAAGACAGTTCTCCAATGGATTACGGCCATCCAGGGAAATGAGATGGCCGATTTCCTGGCAAAAAAGGCCTCTCTCTTCCAGAGTTGTAATTCCAGACTCTTTCCGCGAAGAGCTCAAAAATCTCAATTCCAATAAACCATAGCTTAAACAGATTCTCAATGTCCCTCAGTGGTCTCGGAAGAAATCTGTCACCATGTATTGTCTGATAACTGAACACGATTGCCTGAATAATCATCTACATCACATCAATGCGGTTCCTGATCCTATTTGCACCTTGTGTGATCTCCACGATTAGATGGACTGGTCTCACCTGTTTAAGAGGCCCTGTTCTTCGTTGGACATCAATCTGAGAACACTACTGGATTGGTCACTTTCATTTATAGATTTATTGTTTTTTTTTTTTAAATATTAAATTGTCTTAATGTGCCATTGGAAATAAAATTAAAAAAAACTTCCTGAATCTAAGATGGGAATAAATCCACCAATTTTAGAAAATTGTTCTAAAAACTGAAAATTGGTTAACGAGATGATGTGATGATTAGATCAAAAGTTATTCCAGAAGGTCCATTTCTTAGTTTGTGCACTGTACATATTTGAAATGATTCAACGATTTAATGTTTATAATCAACTCACTTCTGGTGGTCCATTAAAGGAATATGCATAAACTATTGGTTGAATCATTATCAATGAATTTGTCAAATCTTCTTTCAGCAACATGTGCCTAGGAAGAAATTTCACAGTTTCATTTTTAAAATAAAAACATTTAGTAGAATAACAGAAACATATAAATTCAGAAGCTTTGATAAAGTAAATATTAGTTTGTTAAATTGAAATTTATAAAATGATAGATTTCTTTCAATTTGATTTAACTTTAGCATCTTATAAAAAAAATTAATAAATAAATACTATATTCAATCACAGAAAAGAATTAACGTTAGAAAAGAATTAATCTTGATATGGACAAGTGGTGTAAATTAAATTGTTAAATAAAATTTGAAGTAAACTTTAATCTCAATCAGGAGCATAACCAAAAAGAGCATACAAGGGCCATAACGATTTGCTAAACTGAAAAACATTCTTGAAATTTTAGCAAGTATAGTTTTTACAGAATTTTTGAATTATGTTTTCTTTTTAAAGGCAAATTACATATCTAATAAGCAGTAAAAATAACTTCTCATACTGTGACGAAGGTTTAACAAAACACTTTCAAGTTGTACACATTTTTCTTATTATTATAATTTTTTTGAAGTAACAAATGTTTATCGCATTAAATATAAATAAACATTAATAAATTTGTTACATATTTACAACCCTCTGTGCTTATCAGAAGTATTTCAAAATGGCAAAATAAACTTGAAAAAATAAAGACAGTTTTATATTGCAATCATATTAACTTTTAAGAAAAAAATCATTTTCAAACTACGTGCGAAGTCGAGCACTTTGCGTTAGAGCAGTTTAACAAGGACCCTATAGTGCACCCCTGGTCCCTACAAAGGCTGATCAAAGTGATCACCCACCCGCTTACTAACTACAGCCAGTGATGCTTGACTTCAATGTTTTATTGGGAACAGTATCTTAACAATCTGTCTATAGTGGGACTGCCATAAACAAAATAAATAGGTGAATGCCTTTTTAATTCATATGGCTCATATTATATAGTTACACTGATCAATTTTAGTTCCCTAGCTTTAGCATGGAAAATGAGAAAAGCTTTTGTATTAAATGTTAATCTTACATGAAATTAAATTTATTTAATACATTGTATTTCACCCAGGGTTGGCAAGTTTTTGACACATGACGGTTTTTACCGTCATGTCAAAAACCCATAGTTTTGGTAAAACTGTATTTTCATTTGAGTTAAACTGCTTTTAATTTAAAATTAATTCATTTTTGGGCAATAAAATTAGAAAAAAAGTTGTTAAAAAATATTGAAGAACAGATTCTTGCATTTTCCCAACATGAATATATCAAAACATACTATTTGAAGTAAAATACTATGATACTGAAAAAAAATTTCAACATTTCCAAGCATCATTTTGTTTGGCATATTACATTACTGAAGAATGTCAAGATTGATTACTTAAAATTTTGCTATGAGAAACACATGTACACATAAAAAGAAAGCCTCATAAAATAAACTTTTCTTATCAATTTTGCTTTCAATATTTTACACAGAAATGATACATGAAAAAGCATGGGAAATCCTTTTAGAGTTTCAATATTTCTGTATGAATGTATATCCTTCTATAAGAATACATGTATATAGTTGCAAAATCAATAGCAATCATTTACAACATTCATTTATAAAGGCAATTATGTGAAAATAATATATTGTCCGCTATATGCCATAAATTAAAAAAAACAGTAGGTTTTTGACAGTTTTTACCGGTAAAAACACGGTTTTTACCACTGTCATGTCAAAAACCAGTTTTTGACGGCAAAAACCCAACCCTGATTTCACCAAAATAACTTTCTATAATATTATTAAGTGATCTCATATAGATAAACATTTTTTTCAGGGACAATTACATTTCTAACAGATAACTAAACCTGGACAGTTAATACATATTTCAATAAGTACCTAGACTTTGTGAAGAAATAAACTCCAGTTGTGCAACTCACAAATATTTTCGATCCTGAATTAAAACTATGCTTCAGTGAATGAATGTATTTAAAGTTTGAGCTTGGAAGTTTTTCTTAATTTTTGTTCAACAAGTTTTAAAAAAATTGGAATAATTAAGAATTTTTAGGTTTGAAAAAAAAAATATTAATTAAAATTCATGAAATTCACAAAAACCAATCTTCTTACCTGTAATAAGATGTTTCATCCGGACTATTGTTAAATACTTGCAAGAACTGAGACCTTCTTAGATGGAACATAAACTGAGGATAGAGGGAGAAATTCTCAGAGAAACGGAAAGATGCAGGATCGTCTTTGTTGAATTCTCCAAACTTTTGACACTATAAAAGTTTTATGGAGAAAAAAAAAGAGTTACAACAAAGGCACAATAAAAAAAACTATTGATTGTAGTTAAACTTCAGCAATATGTAGGCTGTATTCTTTATATATGTTACCGTTAAAGTACATAATGCAGTTATTTCATAGAATACCTAGTTATTCCATGAAATAACTGATCATGTCCGTTAAAGTGTGTAATATGTTATTAATTTGACACTTTAACTAGTTATTCTATGAAATAACTAGGTATTCTACAAATTAACTAATGAGAGACAGTTAAAGTGTAAAATAAACAATTTATCTAAAATGAAATAACTAGGTATTCTATAAATAAACTAATGATAGACAATTAAAATGAAAAAGAAGCAATTTATCTAATTTATGCAGCGTATAAATGGTATTTATGGAAACGTACCATAAAATCACATTGCTTCTGT